AGACCTTTCTTTGAAGTCAACACAGCTTTAACAGGATAAGTTTCTGGATTATTTTTGCAGGAAAATCAATTAATTAGCTGAACTAGAGATAAACCTGTTTTTGACTGATTAATTGAAAATTTATCAGATCAACTCACTTATTTAACTTATCAAACAATTATACTATTGATCAGAATTAAAAGAGCACAACAATCATGATTGTTATATTTGTAGTCCTACTCTAAGTCTAGAAACATCATCATCAAATCCATCATCTTTAAATACTGTTGGTTCTCAAACTCATACTAAAAAATAATAATTTATGAAGAGGAACCAAAAAAAGAAGTATTGCTTGAAAGTATTTCTTTAAATGAAGTCTCACCAGAAGCTCAAGATGCTCAAAACCTTAATGATGAATCTAACTCATCACAGCAAGGATTACTTATTTTCACCACTCTTTTCATCACTTTCAATGTCTGATTACTAGGTATTAGAGCAAAAATATCATCAATTCTATTGCATCTAGCCTTCTCATTATGATATTTTTTCAGTATTTGTCAGATTTGTGATGCATTTCACAAATCCTGTGGACATCACATATTGAAAATTTATGTGACCATTCCATATCAGGGATGACCATCCTGTCTTCTTACTTTACACAACAATAGGCATTGGATTAGTGATGGGTTTTGTCAGATAGCAGCTGAGGGAACCCTTTGTAGTATAATTCACCATTTGATGGTTACAATGGTGTAATCTGATACTTCATGACCAAATTATACAATGTTTTTCCATGATGGATGTCTGCATGGATTGCATTAAGTGAGATGTTTCTTTTTTTCATGTAGGTAAAGTTGCGCATGTGATTATGTTTGAAGAAATGCCTAATTCACCATCCCAGGGTCCTCCACAACTTGTTCTGGGATATTGTGGTAATGCGCAATGGGTAATTGCTTGGCATAGTATTGCCATTCCATGCAAGTGGTGCCTGTTTGACTTTGGTCATCATCAAGGTGTAGAAGATCTGAGGAAGCCTTTACACACTTATTTCTTTTTAAAAAGGAAATTTGATGGCAAGGTTGTGGTTTTTGATATATGTTTGCATTGCCAAACAGTGCCTGTTTATCATGTGAAAATTTCTGGCCAATGAATAAACATTAATATTTTTTAATGAGACATGTAAAATCTGTTTATTAATTATAACACATACATATAAAATTTTTTTTTATATTAATTATTACAAACAAACAAAAATGCCACCTATTCCTAAAAGAAAAAAAAACAATATAAAGATCAATCAAGAGATGCAGAAGGCAAGTATTTGTCAAAAAGAATATATAATGCTAATAGTAAAGTTGATGAAACAAGGCAGAAGGAAAATCTGAAAGAGAAAGAATTAGATAAATTGGATATTACTAGTATTAATGAAAAATTGAATAATGAGAATATAGATCCCATAGAAAAATACCAGATGAGTAATATTATAATAATAACAAGAACTTACTGTAAAAGATTGTAGTGATGGAACTGATAACTGTTGTACCAGCTTTGAATAATCACATAACCTGGCTGGCCAAAGTTGTATATATCAAAGTTTTTTTTTTACAAATGATTTTGTATAAATTTTGTTTTTGTAAGTCAATAAAATTATTTTTGTGTGATTTTTTAGAAGATGATCATCATAAATTTAGCCAAAGTCATTGGTATATCACCTAGCCTTAATCCAACCACACATTCAAAACCATTCTAAGTAACTTGAAATCACATTTTAACTTATTAGACTACAATTGGTTAGTTTTCCTTGCAAAAATCCTGTCAAGGGATAATAATCAATTGGCTACACACTCTGTCCCATCTTGTTACCAAAAAAAAAGCTCTCCCAAAAAAAAAAAGGGAACTTGCTCAAAATCACTGTTAAATGTGATTCATTTTCTAATGAAATAAAACAACAACAACAACAATTCCATATATATCAACATCAAAAAATCAACATCAAAAGATTAGAAAATCAAGAAAAGTGAAATGCAACATTCCTGTAACCTATCACCTAAATTACTTGCTAGTGGCAAAGTATTAGATATAGATGGTTTTATTTTAAAAAGGAATTAATTGTCAGTATTGATTTTTATTATTATTTAATGAAACCACTAAAAACCAATCTTTTCTTTCCATCCACAACATAACACATCTTTCTTCCTTCATATATGCGGGACAGGAACCTGGATCCTAGATTTAGCAACAGAATATAAAACAGCCACATTTATTTGACTTGATATATCACGAATATTTCCACAAACTGTCAAACCAAGAAATGTGTCATTTATAAAATATAATGTATTGGACAGGTTGCCATTTCCTGATGACTGTTTTGATTTTATAAATCAATCATTTTTAGCATTTGCATTCACTGTTTTCCAATGGGCCACTATACTAAATGAAATAATCAGTCATCATCACCATAATATTTAGAGATAGATTTTTGTAAAAATATATATTAATATATAAATAATATAAATAAATATAAATAATGTAAATATAAATAAAAACAAATAAAAAAATCTTGATCACTAATTAATTAATTGACAATCATCTATGAATCTAAATAAGGATTGTCGGAGGAGAAATCACTAATTAATTGACGACTTTGTATAAAAAAATGGTACTATATATAGTACTATAAAATAGTATATTGTTTTATTTTGAATTATGAAATAAATGTCAAGGAACATATTTATATATTTTTTTTAAGAATATCGAAAAAAAAGGGTTTACTCTTGGGGATGTAGAGATGAGTGAGATTTTTCATATATAAAAAATTTTTTTACGTTCATGTATAATTATTTTTAATCGGGAGTTTCTATATTATTCAAATTATTTCAAAGATTCATAAATGATTTTAGTATTTAATTACATCAAATGATTGAACTTTATTCCGATAAAATTATTTTGAAACTCCAAAACTCAAAACTACTATTTTAACTTTAAAAAAAGCAAAATGACATCATAGTGCTTTTATGTGAGAAAAAGATCTTTTTCACGTGATGGGATATTTTTGCAGATCATTCTACAAGATGGTTCCTTTCGACATTTCACTGGTTCATAAATAGGATCATCAATTAAGGATTTATTTATTATTTAAAATTTTTTCTAATAATAAAAAATCAATTAAATTGATACGCAAACAATAGGAGAAGATGAAAGGATCGGAAAAAATTTAAATGACAAATCATATTAATGCAAATTTTAGTTTTTTATAATTATGTGAACTCGATTTTCCGAACACATTTAAAAAATTAATAATAATAATAATGCGAATCAAAATAGTCGAAGACGTATGAAATTTATTAACAGTGAGGTTTTGACATATTAAAATGAGCATAAATTAAACGTGTTTCATCATCTACTGCAGTCAAGCAAGGATTAATATTAGAGTAAAAGTGTAATCCCAAAAAATAACTACTTTTTGTGATGTAATATGAATTGTAATGTCTCCTCCTGCCAAATTTTCAATGAAAAGATACTATTGTAATAGAAATATATGATAAATGATCTCAAAATCCTATTATTACTCTTTTAAAGTTTGCAACTTGATAATTGACTCCAAGTGAAATAATTTAGCATTGACAAATGCGAATTATAGTGTGACCGATGACATTTTTCATTTCTTTATTATTATGTTTTGCGAAATCAGTGTAACCGAGGATATTTTCCCCTTCGAGTTGTATAAAGACGGTGACCCTTTCCATTATCTATTAATAGAATCTATGGTGAGGCGGTCGCAATTTTTTTTTTAAAGTATTTTCGAATCATAGTGTTGTTCAATAGAGTTTTCCCGGTCCTAAGATGAAATACTGAAAATGAAGGAGTAAACAAACATTGATATTAATATTAATAAAAAAATATTACAGTCGGAACTCGATAAGACGTAATTCGATAAATTATAACGGAGTTTTTCTAGTTTACCTATTCTATTGTTTCATTTTGGACGATTATTTCATATGGTTCCACACATATAATAAATTATAACTTGATAAGACAAATAATAATACCAGTCTATCGAAAGAAATTTTGTATAACTTCATTGACATTAAAAGAAAAAAGAGAAATATCTGTTCTAAAACAATCGAAACCTACTTCAACGAATAAAGACCTTTAAAATTCGTTAAAAGTGGCATTTTATTATATAGAAGCGTCAACAAATATATGTATAAAATTTTAAACCAATTTTTTTTTAAAAAATATTAACTTCATTTTTATCGAAGACTACTTAATAAAATGAATGTTTTATAAAATGATGCATTGAGTCCAAAACAAGTACATTGGTTTAACGAGTTCCAACTGTAATAATATTGAGAAGTATTTCTTTATTAAAATATCACGTGAAAGCTCATGATCGTGTTGAAAGCTAGTACAAATTTGGACAGAGAAACGTGATATGTGTTATTGAAACCTTAAAAATCTATCTATTTACACTATAAAAGGCAGATTGATTTCACAAACAAAATAAAGTTATTTTGTTTACAAAAACATGCGTGAATCTCTCTTTCCCGAATAATAAAGAAATAATTGATTAGATAATAAAGCATCATCACGCTTATTATTCTTTTAATTATTCTATTTTCTCACCTTCCTTTTTTTTGTATCTGACACTTACTCGATCAAGTTTAGTATGTTTTTTTTTTTTGATATATATCATCTATCATGATATCTATCTATCATATATATAATAATATTTCTTTTTTTTATATTAATATATATATGTTTTTTTTCATGCATATTCACACACACGCACAGTTTATACCTAACTACCTGCCTTGTTATATATATCTATCTATTATATTAAAATCGTTTATCATAAACTTGTCACTACTATTTGTTTTTTTTTTTTTCCTGAAATCAAAATTTAATCGAAACACCAATAAGTCAAATCAAATCAATCTTAATCTATCTTTCAACCCAAAAAAAAAATTTCATCGATTTTATTTTTATTTATTATTTTAAAAATAATAAAAATATTAACAATGGCTATTAAAACAATTGGATTGGCACTTGTTGGGATCGTCTCCTCATTTATTTCTTCCGCGTTATTTGCATTTATTTTTGCTTTTCAAGATGAAAAAAAAAAAGAACTAGAGTACTATGGTAATAACAACAATAATGGGAATAATTGCAAGAATAAAATTTATCCTGTTAACAGTGGTGGTAATAGTAAGGATAATGGCGGCAGCATCATAAACCAGGATGATATTAGTATAAGGAATGATATTGACAATAAAATTGATGATGATGATGATTATGATAATTTTAATAAAGGCGGTAATAATAGTAAATATGATATTAGTAAGGACGGTATTGTAAATGATTATGATGATTATTATGATTATGATAATTATGATGATGATGAAAATCAACTTAAAAGTCCATTTTTTCAACCTCTACAAAAATCACAAACTCAAGTTCATCATCATACTCATAATTTAACCGAGTATGAATATCAAGAAGAAAAAGAAGAAAACATGTCAAAATCAAATCATTATAATCAATATCCTTTTTTAACAGATGGTTTAACTGATAATAATGAAGTTAGTAATGTCATTAGTGCTATTAGAATTATTAGTAATATTAACAACAGCGGCAGTGGTAGTAAGTGTGAAGGTGAACAAAATAGCAATGATCATAGTTATATAGTTAATAACGAGTATGAGGATAATCCATCGAAATTTGGATATTATTTAGAAGGTTGGGATTATACAAATAATGACGAGGAGAATGAGAATGAATTATATGAATCGGATTATGATGAATCGGATGAATTAAATGAGGATGAAGAGTTAGATTATGATGAATTGGAATTGATAATGGAAAAGATACTTGCTTGTGAAAACAATAGTTCAGATGAAAATTTAGAATATAGTGACTATGAAACTGAAACTGAAGATGAAGATGTTGGAGATGATTATTGCTATTATAATAATTATAAATAATTACACTGATGGAGAGGATAAAGATGAAAAATTAATTAAATATAAAAAAAATAAATAACTATTATTATCATTATTTAATCAATTTAATAATAATAGCAATAGAAATAGTTATTATTATGAAAATAACACAATAGTTGTTTAGCAAAAATATTAGCAAAGAACATTTTTTTCCAAATTAAAAAAAAAGAATTATTTTTATTTTATTCAAAAAAACTGTAAATACAAAATAAATAAATCAAAAAATGGGAGGTTTTTTTGATATATATTCACATGATCAAACACAGTTATATATTTCCAAGATGCGTGTGTCATTCTCGGTGGATAATAATAATAATAATAATAATAATAATAACGAGGTAATATAATTCCATTTATAAAAATTTGCTTCTTCTTTAACGACTATTTTTTCTTTTAACGGTTATAGCTACCACCATAAGCAATAATAACAAAGAAGTATATTTATTTATTAATTCATGATGATAAAATCAATCATTTATTATTATTTAATTAAAAATTTGAGCGAATTTTAGACCATGATAAAAAACAAAAAATCAACAACTCCTTCACATTAAAAAACCCAGCAATAATGCATGTTAGATGGGACAGTATAAACTTCTTGATGTTGGTAGTCATCCAGAGACTCTCTATTGAAAGTGTGTGTTTCGCGTACATCAAAAGCTGATTTCAATAGTGAAATATATGTTTATAAACAACCTGTCGACAAAAAAGTCATTTTTTTATTCTTTTGTTGCAACTCATAGTGTAGATTGTACTGGAAAATGGGAAATAGTCACAACTCTATAATAAAATATGATGCTTATTAGAAATCTGCATCCTTCTTCTAAAAAAAATTCGCAGATCAGGATCAAGACCAACAGAATGCTATTCCAAACGTTCTATACATAATTTCCCCGATCGTTGATGCTAATTCCAACCTCCACAGCCCAATTGAAGCAGAAAGACCATCAGTTTGTCTCCTCTATTATATATAATAATAAGGAAGAAATAAAAAAACATACTCGTCGTGAATTAACTCTTGCATAATGACAAGTTAAGTAAAAATACTCGCCAAAAATGTGTATTTTATCCACAATTATTTGTGAAGTTTTACTCTTTATTTATTCTATAAGATAGGAATTTTTAGAAAAATAGTTCTTTGAATATTGATTATTAATTATGACTAAAACGAGATATTGAATGAGAATATGCAGTGTGCATGTTGTGAATTAAAAAGGAGCCTAGTTAGAATATTAAAGTATAATGAATGACTAATCTATTACACTTTACAAAGCTGTAAAACAACTCTGACCTTTGTACATACAGTTAAAGCACATATAATGTGCTACTGGGATGACTATAACTTCATGGAGTTCCGGCTACCTACCATTTCGGACAAGCTAGTATAACTGGTGGTTCTTTGAAAATATCTGTCTGGCTTATCCACTCCATTTGACACATACGGATGTAAATGTTTCGGATGTTACGTGCAGCATTTTACATCCATAAAATTGAAAATTGAAAATTTTTATCATTTATGAAAATGATAAAAATATAAATACTTGTGATACACTTTTTTTCAATTCACAATAAAGCGTATCCATAAGATCAAGCTAATCTTTATTGGAGCCAAAGATTCTACAACAAAGTTTTGACAGTGTCTTTTGTTTTCAAACAGAACCTCTTTGCATCGTAGAACTCTTGCAAATTAAAACTTCTATCTTTTAAAAATAGCTTGTTATGGGACTCAAACTTTATCATTGTCGAATTCTGTTCCTTTTTAACTAAATTCAGTCAACACGGAAAACTTGCAAATAATGTTAATAAACGAGCTATATGATTTTATTTTTGAATTTTGCTAATGACGCAGAAAATGAAGTTCCTCGCCATAATTTCTTCTAGTTTTTTGGGATTAAAAATTTCTCAATCAATTATATTCCCCAATGACAAAATCTGTTGACAAAGAGACATCCTCGTATTCTTTTGATTCAATTGCTCTAAATTTTCTTTGGTAATTTCGCAATTTAGCAGAGTAATCTCTTCATAACGGATTTTATACGCGAAGCAAAATTTTAAAAAATCTATTTTAATTATAATCTGTCGTAACAACCAATCAATATTTTGAAAAAATCAATAAGGTTCGAGTCCCGTCCGATCTATGCAATTCTATTTTTTTAAAGTCAGGTGATAATTATTGAACATGCAATTTCTTATCCCGCACTTTTTTGATAACACAAAATTTTGCATAACGAAAATAAATAAATGTCTTCATGAATACTAAAGTTGATGTCTGCAACTGGTTGCGAATTCTTCTTACATTACAGCTCTTATGCTCTAAATCCTGCAACTTCTTAGTTGCAGGCACAAACTTCAGTGAATATGCATGCGAAAATTTACGCTTCTAAATAAAATGAAAAATGTAAATCTTTTTCAATTATTAGGATTTTCTCAAATGTTGTACATAAATTTTATATCAATTAGTAGCTTAGGTTCTTGATAATTTTACTATGTTAATATAGAAAACAAGTAATGCATAAACCTCTATGCATGTAATGTATAGAGAATTGATATATACTTGGGAACTTTTCGATAGAAGCGAACCATACTCCAAAAAGCAATGTTGAGTTAATACAACTTGATATGTAACGTCTCGTGTAGAAATCTTGGATTAGGAACTATACCCGCTTGCATATTAATATTGTTCAGAACAATATTGACATGTAGATCTTTTTTCAAAAATTTCACTTTTTCGTTTAATAAAAATGTGATACATGGGCTGCGGACGTTTTCTGATATACATTTATTTTATCAGTTTATTTCTTTGTTTTCCCACCATGTCATTATTATTATCATTATCAAAAAATGACATTTGTTGTATGAAATGAGGCGTGTTAAAACTTCCATTATTGCATGTCTGGGCGTTCCCAAATTTCCATTTGGAAATTTAGAATGTTTTATAGTCGGACATGCAGCAAACTAGTTATTTAACGCAGAAACATCCAATGATTACGTCAAAAATGACTAAAAAATTGTCACTTACGTGCCACTATTATTGCATGCGGATCATGTAATAACTCATATTAATATATATTTAATACCTGGTGATGTTAACCAATTAGCCGGATAAGCTGTTAAACCATTTATTAGCTGGCTAAGCTGTTTTAAGCCAGTTTAGTTAATGAGTTGTCGGAGAATCGTACCAGACCCACGTATTATTACAAATACTTTTTAAAATTCAATGAAGATATTATTCCATAATTTTTATTTTTTCTAACATTATAAAGATTCAGCTTCGCTTCTAATTTTTTTACTTTTGCTTTATCTTTTATAACATGTTCATTCAATGACATTTTGCTTTCTTCCAAAGAAATTTTACGTTATTCAATTTCAAACTGAAGAAGTATGTTTTCTTTATTGTCGTCATCAAAAAAATTTTTTTTTGATGATCTAGCCTGTTCATTGTCTGATAATTGAACATATAGATTCTTTACCTTTTTTTAGGATATTTTATTTGTAGATTATGTGATTTTATAAATTAATAAAAATATCTATCTTAAAAAGAAAATTATTATTAATGCAAAAAAACATTAAAACTTTTCAAAGCTATTATTTCCGATAGCATACATGGTGGCGAAATAGTTTTGTTTCGACAATAATTTCGACGATTAGGGTTCAAACATTTCGAATATACCCTAACATGTTTCGAAAAAATCGAAATTCGAAATTAATAAATAACTTTTGCATTAATGTCTTTAAAGTGCTTTTATTTCAATTTTTTGAATTTCGATTTCAATTTTGAATTTAGGTTTCGATTTTGAATTTCGATTTCGATTTTGAATTTAGATTTTAATTTTAATTCCGCCAAGGGTATTTCGATTTCGAAAACTTTGTGATTTTTGAATTTTATCAAATGACTTTCGCCATCATGTATGTCCGATAGTCATTTAAAAAAAGCATAGTGAGTGACCAACATCTATAACATACTACTAATACATAGAGGTTTATTATACATTACTTGCTATTAGCATTATTACAATTTTGGATTTTTAACCGAAAAATTTATATGAATGCTAAAAACAAACTTTTACATATACTTTTTGTAAAAACCAAGCTACAAATTGATGTAATTTTATTTATTTTTATTTTTATTATACAAAATTTGTGAAATTATCAAAAAAAGTGTTTTACTCCAGGTAATATATATATATATATATATATGATAGCAACAATAGATTCCTTGATAAATTAATTCTTCTTTACTATCTCATAAACTTCAAATTCTTCCACCAAATAAATGTTTTCATTTTTATTTCTAAAATTTAAATCATTTTTATAAGAGTTCCTGGAATTAGAACTATGATAATAATAATAATAACAATAAGGATCATTGTTAATACTATTACAAAGACAAAGATTAAGAAAATTTATAGTCATTTCGTGAAATTCCATATTATCTACAAATACATTAATACTTTGTCCATCATGATATATTGCATATCTTGGATCCATAACTCTACTTAATATTGAGTTATTAATTTGATTTTCATCAATTTTAAAAATAAAACTTTTATCTGTTTCAATCCAATAATCATCATCCAGAGATTTTTCTTTTATATTCCAACCAACTGGGTTATAACCACCAACCAATTCTCCTGTATCTTTAATTTTCATAATGGCTACAGTTTGTTTAATATTATAACATTTATTCTCAAAGATAGATCTAGAGAATCCATCTTGAGTACCCTGGAGAATTAATTTAAATTCATAAGGTATATTGTTTTCATTATATAGATCATTTTTACAATCAATCCAATTTGAAATTAGAGATTTCATTTGTAAATTTAATAATTTTCTTGTTCTTATTTTTGATCTTGGACCTTTTTGAAGTATAAATCTTGGTTGGAGTCTATTAGTAACATGGTATTGAAGAAGTTCTTCATATATTTCTTTATTAATGACTTTTTTATAAGGTTTGATTTTATCATAAAAATCAACAGAGGAAATTTCATAAAATCTTATTAGTGGAATAATATCATTTAATATATTTTTTAACATGATAAAATCCTCCTTCATCCACTCTGAAACATCTTTGTCTAATTTTTCATTTTGATTTTTTCCCCATTGAATGATATTATCCCAAATTTCAATTTCATCTAATTTTAAATCATCTTTTTCTAACATAGTTATAAGCATAGTCTTTTCAATATCTTTGAAATCCTTAGATTTAAAAATTAATTCTGGATTTTTATTAATTATTCCACTACAATAATCTTGAAGCAAGTTGAATGATTGATGATATGATGCAATTTTATGAACATAAATTAAATTCTGTAAGTCATTGATTAATTCATTAAAATTTAATTCATCACATGCTTCAAGAAGTTCAAAAATTTCATTTGTATTCAGATTATTTATATTAAGAACCCCATTGTAAATATATCTATAAGATAAAAAAAAATTATTACAATCAATTAATTAAAATAATGAAAAATTTAAAAATTTAAAATAGTCTTACGTTAAAAGAATCTCAAATACATTTGGTGAAATATTTTCTTTTTCAAATAAAATAACACCATCATCAAATTTTTTTATCCAATTATTTGATAAAGCAGCCTTAAAATATGAAGACCTTGCTTTTAAGATGCTAGAATGAGCTTTAAAATTTTTAAAATCCTCATCTACTCCAACTTTAATTTCCACATCATAAAAATCTGATTCATTCAATAACTTTGTTAAATCATTTACAAGTTTATTAATGTATTTTAATGGTAAGGTATCATTTTTTGTATCAATTAGGTTGTTAAATAATAAGTTTAAACTTTTTAATGATGAAAAACAAGTTGACATTTTGTTGTTTTGGTAAAATTATTATTTTTCTTGAATAATTATCGATTGATTTCAAAGCTTTCCGCACCAGTGTTCGAAGTTTGGAAATTGGAAATTGTCTTATATTATGGGTATGGGAAATTTCTGCTAGAATATTACTGTTACACGGTTTATCATAGTATAATATAATGCGTAGCGTGATATTCATAAAAATCAAATTCGGATGGAATATTTTAATTGTAATTGGCTAATATTAGAATAAGAAAAAATGCCCGTTATAAATTATAATTTATGTATAAATTGGGTTTAAATTCTCGGTCAGTTATAGATCCGTCACAGAGAAAGTGAAACGTGATCCTGAATGAAACAACACGAGTCATTTCATTAATAAATTAGTGCATTGTTATTCTATCAGTAAACCAAAACGTATTTTTTTTCAGGTCAGACAATTATCTTTGAGTGGGAATTGTCTAAACAAATTTTGCATGCACGAAAAAAACCAAAGTTCGTCACTGCCAGTAATAGACAAATAATGCTTTGTTATATTTAATCGTTTATTAAAACCATTAATATAAAATAACAAGCATTTATATGCATGTGTTTTTCCAAAGCCAACTCATTTATTTGGGCTCGGAATTTATACAAAATAGAATGCCGTCAGAACCTTGGACTATATATCAAAAAGAGATTTTTAGTAAGAATTAAAAAAAAAAATCGTAAAAATGGTTTAAATTTCAAAAAACAGTTACCTTCGAATTTCATAAAAGGTTTAGGCGCAACAGAATCAAAAAAGCCAATGTCTGGTATTGTTTGTTTAACATTGAATTTTATGTCACCAGCTTCTGTTTGACATTTATTCTTTTTAGAAAACAAGGTGCAGAGCGAGCGTACAGGATAGGTAAGTTTATGTTTTAATCCAGTTGTTAATGATTGAAAGATTGCGCCAAACGTACTACCGTCAGGTATACTTTTCAGAATTTTACCACTAGCTTGAAGGTTCACATCAACTTGAAGATCTAAACTTGGTGTCAAAGTGACACTAAAATCATCAAATTGGATACCTTTCGTCGATGTACCCTTACATGCGGTAAAGGTTTCGAAGACAAGTGGTTTGGATGCTTTTCGTGGGTAAATTGGGGAAGAGGTGATTAAGTTTGGAATTAAAGAAAAAACCAACAAAGTTGAAATGATAAAGATTGTATTTAGTTTCATTATTATTGAAAATGTTGGTTTTTATTATTTTGATTGTTTAGAGGGTGAATTTTTTTACTTGGAAAAGGATCAGGAACGCGTTTATTTATACACAGCTTAATTTACGTTAAAATTTTCACATGACAGCATCTCCTGGTTTTGATGGATGTAAAACAAAGTTTATGAATGAATCCTAAACGTAAATTTCATTATATAAATTCATATATCAATCGTCATTGAAATTTTTATATTATTACACGAATAATGATAAATGGATTAATAATGACAATTAATTAAAAAAAATTACATTAAAGGAAATAGTATGCTTGGTGATCAATTTGGGAAGAATCAATAATAATTGAATGAATATTAATTATTTTTTCAACTATGAGTCAAAACCTGAACTTTAAAACTCGTCAATAATTCACCAACACATGTGAGCATAAAGTAGAGTATAAGATCGTCTTAATAATGGTATTTTATTTTTAATCGGTTTATTATTTTATTAAATTATCAAACTTTATAAAATTTTAATATTAAGCATAAATTAATTTTTTATTTGTTTTATAATAGAATATATATATACAGTGTGTTTCAAAAAAAAAATGGCGCGCACAAAAAATCGTATACTGCAACAATTATGCAAGATAAATAAATAAAATTATGTTCATTTAA